TCTTAAGGAAATGTACTTGTATATGGTGCCTGTTATCTGTTAATATTCTATTTATTTATCATTATTTGCATTATATTTCTTCTTCCTTCCTTTCATGTATTACCTGCATGTCCCTTTCTGTTTCTTTTCCTTTTTCTTTTGAAACAAGGTCTTGCAGCCCTGCCTGGTCTTAAGTTCTCAGAAAACTTTCTACATAAACCTCCTGAGTACTGGGGTTCCAGGCATGAGACACCAGCTCTGCTCATGAATGTCTCAGATGAGGCTGACTTAAGTTCTAACCTGGAGACCACTTCTCTGTCAAGTTCCTTGGGATGGAATGGAAAGTGTGTGTGCAAGGCTTTTGTCATGACTGCATGTTGGGCTGAGCGAGGAAAGGCATGTGTGTAGTGGTGCGTGTTGTAATAAAATACAGTTTATAGAGATTCCTTGAAAGAACACTGGCAGGCCAGGGCACGTGGTAGGTATATTCCTGAGAAATGAACTAGGCCAGCTCCTCAAGACAAACAGTGGCAGCATTTGTTACTGGTGCTAAAATTCACACTTTCCTGTAAGAGTCAGACTCTGGAAATATTTGCTTTGACCACCATGAGCTTGGGACTTTCTACCTGAGGACTTCCTGCTGAGACTGTCTGCTGTGGGATAATGCTCTTGTACCCTGTAATGATTTGTCACTTGTATTGGTTTAATAAAACACTGATTGGCTAGTAGCCAGACAGGAAGTATAGGCGGGGTTACCAGGTTATAAGAATTCTGGGAAGAGGAAAACCTCAGTCTGTAGTCATCACTCAGAAGCAGAAGAAGCAAGATGAGAATGCCTCACTGAGAAAAGGTACCAAGTCATGTGGCTAAACATAGACAAGAATTTTGGGTTTATTTAAGTTGTAAGAGCTAGCTAATAATAAGCCTGAGCTAACAGGCCAAACGGTTTATAATATAATATAAGCCTCTGTGTGTTTCTTTGGGACTGAATGCTGTGGGACCAGGCAGGACAGAAATTTCCATCTACATTTCTTAGTGACTGGACAAATGTGACTTTCTGGCATTTGATTGATGACATGTTGTAACACTAGGAATACTTGTATCACTCTAGGCACAATATTTTCCAAAAATGTTTCCAAATGCCTACCGGATACACAAACACAGAAGGATAAAGAGCCAGTGAGACATAAGATGAGACACAAGAAAAGGTTAGGGCTTTGGGGGAGGTGGCTGAATGGAGGAACATTTGCCTAGTATGCAGGAGACCCTGGGTTCAATCCCCAGGCCCAGAAAAAAACAAAATAAAATCCTATCTCCCCACTCCTCAAGTTTGAGGTGGGACAAAGTCAAAGCAGCCACACTGAACTATTCTTTAAATATCTCTTTTTTCCAGGTAACTTCCTGTGAGGTTGGACTTTCCAAATAGAATCCTGCATTTAACAACCAAAAACTCTGCTGGCAGCAGAGTACACAGGCACCTGAGGAACCCTTGCTGGTTCCTGTAAGCCAGAGATTTATACAAATATAAAAGAATGTCACTTTTCTTGCTGAAACCTTGTTTTGAGAAATAAATTTTAATACAACTGGTCCTGACAGTAATATCTAATGGGTTTATTGTTCTGAAATAAATAACATTTTCATATGTCTAAAGTTTTTAAAAATTATTTTATGTGCACTGGTGTTTTGTCATGGGTTTTGGATCCCCTGGAACTGAAATTATAGACAGTTATGAGCTGCCATGTGGGTGCTGGGAATTGAACCCTGGTCTTATAGAAGAGCAGTTAGTGCTCTTAACCAGTGATTCATCTCTCTAGCCCCTAAAGTTTATTTTTTTAAAAAAATATTTATTTATTTATTTATTATATATACAATATTCTGTCTGTGTGTATGTCTGCAGACTAGAAGAGGGCACCAGACCCCATTACAGATGGTTGTGAGCCACCATGTGGTTGCTGGGAATTGAACTCAGGACCTTTGGAAGAGCAGGCAATGCTCTTAACCTCTGAGCCATCTCTCCAGCCCCCCTAAAGTTTAATTTTTAAATAAAGTTTTCTAGAGGTACTGGTGCTGCTGGTTGGAACTCTTTAAAGTTTTCTGGAATCCATCACTAGTCACTTTTCTTAGTCACTAGGGTCCCCAGAGCTCTCCCATGCTCAGATGGCATGCAGAGTCACCCTGCTGAGGTGCTGTGGGAGTGTGGAGCTGCTACACGGAAAGGAACAACTCCTCAGATGGATCACTGATGAGGCTGTCACAATCCCCTTAGACACTGTGGGAATTAAGGATCTTCTTGGTCTCTGAGTCCATCAGACTCCCGGTCAGACTCCCACACGTGATGATGTCTATCAGTTACTTCCCTGCTGCCATTATAAACCACCATGACCAAAGCCACCTATAGACGGAAGATTTTGTTTGGGCTTATGGTTCCAGAGGGATGAGAGTCCATCCTCATCATAGCAGGGAAGAAGAGCAGGAGACAGGCATGGTAGCAGGGACAGCTGAGAGCTCCTATCTTGAACCACAAGCAGGAAGTACAGAGCTCACTAGGAATCACACAAGTCTTTTAAATTCTCCAAGCCTGCCTTCAGTGACAAGCCTCATCCAGCAAGGTCACATGCTGAAGCCGCCCCAAAAGAGCCACCACATGGAGGCTGAGTATTCAAATGTCTGAGACTACAGGTGACATTTCTCATTAGCATCAGCACAGGAGGTAACCTGAAGGCTCCCAATGCGCCTGCAGGTCCCGGCTCTGCAGGCTATGGAGAACATCTTCCCACCTTTGGCCCCATTCTTTGTTTCACATGAATTTAAACATAATTTTGTCATTTCATAACAAAATCTGCAGTTCTGCTAGAAACATAGTGGGATCACATGACTAAAATGAGAAGGCTGGAGCTTTTGTGGTGCACTCAGCTTCCACAATTGGGGACTGTTTCGCATCCTTCAGTGACACGGTGTATCTTCACCAGAGCCTCCGTTTTTCTGGCTAGATCCACTCCTGGGCAGTCTACTACTCTGGTTTCAATTGAGTGGACTCCTTTCTCATTGCCAATTTTAATACGTTTAGATTGAAGCTCCCAAGGGTCTATGTATTTGGTTTTCGGGATCATCAAAAGTAGTATCTGGAGATAAAGGGAACTGTCATGTCTTCATCCCGTCCCTTAGCTTTCTTTGTTTGCTGACCAGTATCTTGTTCTAGATGGCAGAGGATCAGGTTGTGATGGCGAAAATACTTGCCTGGTTCCTGTGTTCATGTTTTGCTGAACCAGATCAGATATTTTAGCGTTTACTAATAGAGTTATTTTACTCCTCAAATGACTCAATAGCTAAAGAAGAAACCAGAAAGTCCTCACCGACACATTGTGGAAGTCGTGGTCAACCTCAGGTGTTCAACAGATAAGTCCCATCTAACCTCGAGGGGGACAAACAAACAAGTCCCAGATTGCTCAGACAGAGGCTGCTTCAGCATGCAGAATGCAAAGATGCTAATTGACAGGAGTACTGTGCCGCTGCCGCGATTCTGGAATACAGTTTCTAGCCATGAAGACAATGGCTACCTCCTGACCCTCATTCTGTCCCCTCCTATGGAGCGCCAAGACACAGTGACCAGTGCTCCCCTCCAGCAGCCTCTCAGACAGTACTACTGTCCCTTCTAGAAGGATGGAACCACCCCCACCCCATTTTTTGAGGTTCAGGAGCTTCATGGCAGTTTAGGCACCATGACCCACAAATGAGGACAGGCAGATGCATGTCAGCAGATTACTGAGTGTCCATGGTGGGGTCCCCAGGAACTAAGGCTGCAGGTGGATTCTGGGAGGCCGAAGAAGGTCAGGCTCCTGACTTGGCTCTCAAGTACCACAGGCCCTTGAGTTCTCTATCTTCCTGGAGCCACCCAGCTGCTTTTCAGGAGAGAGCTGTAGTTACTTGCACTGGTGCCTAAGAACCAACTATTTGATCTCTTCCTTGTTAGGGGTACAGGGACAGCACACAGACAGCTGGCACTTTGCTTGATCTATACCACAAACTTGGACAGGGGCTCCATCTGTACCACTATGTGAATGTTTCCCACTAACTGAGGTTGCCAGCAAAACACAGAGCCCATAGGACATGGACTCAGGAGACCTATGCAGCGCAGAGGGACTGAGAGCTCAGAGGACCTCAGATCAAGGCAGATCGTGCTTGCTATTCCGCCTCAGCTGCATAGTGCATGCAGCCCCTCCCATAGGTAGCCAGGGGTAGGGCGCCACATCATCTGGTGTAGCCCCCCCCTTCCCCTCATGCCTGTCTGACTATTACTGAAGAGTCAGTATAGCTGGTACTCTCACCTCAGGATGATTGGGGAAACCTTGCTATTACCCCTGACCTCAGAAGTATACTCTAAGTCTCAGGGAAAATCAAAACACATAAGCACCTAACCTAGCTCCACTGAATCTGGTCCTCTGGAACTGCAATTGGCCTGGGCCCAAGGGTGGCCTCGGTGAAAAGTCAAGGCTTGGCCAAAGGTACTATGGCTATTCAGCAGAGGGGGTCCTGGGAAGAATCTTTCACATGGTAAAATGACAGATCAAGATGGCCATTGTATGCCTTCTCAGATGCCGGGCTGAAACACAAACTTCTTCCAGAAGTTGTATGGCTCTGGGTGACCTGGCTGCTGGCAAAGGCAGTTCTCTGTGTGGGGGTGTTCTTCCTAGCTCGTCCCTTCAGCACCCTCTGTCATTGGTTACTATTTCTCTGCTGACTGAACTAAAGCTCCATAAAGTCAAGCCCTGTGCCTCACTTGGCATGCCGCTGCTACCTTTGGTGAGTCGGCATGAACCCAGTGCTCGTGTGAAGCTCCTAAGAGGTGACTGTGTTGGGTTAGTACTCTGATAGCTGGGTAATTAGGGTTGATGCTACAGATCCTATGGAAGAAAGACCCCACAACCCGCCCCTGACCTATGGCATTTGCTTTTGTGTACAGAGGAGAACTGTCCCAGCCAGCACTTCCCTTTCCCCTTCACATCAGAGAGAGCAAAGTCGGCTTCCAGGCAACAATGGAAAGTATGTTTAATATCAAAAGCTGTTTCAAGTATCATGGTAGTGACTATACTGGAGAGTATATTCTGGGATCTTCTCACTAGCAGCTGCCCTGGGGTCCTGGGCATTAATGCTGGAGCTAGGGCTCCAAGGTTTCATAGGGCCACTGGGGTCCTAGAAAGCCCTTCAGAGAAGCACAGAGGCCAGACTGAAGCCTGTCCCCTTTCCGGAATCCTGCTGGATGGCAGGCCCTGAGCCTGGGTGGGCCTCCAGACAGGACTATGTGGCACCTGGCATCCTCTCCATGGCCTAGACGTTGGACTTGGCGATGATCTTCTCCAGCAAGCTCATCATGCGCTCCTGAAGCTGCAGACTCTGAACCTGCAGGATGTTCTGCTGGTCCAGCACACGGCGCACCTCTCGGCACGTCTCCTCCATGGCACGGCTCAGCCGGCGCTGTTCCTCCAGCATGGCCTCCAGCAGCCGCAGCTTCTTTTTCTGTAGGTGACAGCTCCGGACCTTGCGCTTCTTCACAGGACGTTCCTCTGACCTGTGAGGGAGACATGAGCTGGTCACAGGTCCTGGGACATGGGGGTGATCAGACCTTCCCAAACACCCCACCGGACAAACTAGGACACTGAGGCCCCATGAGCCCCAAAGGAGGGCTTGGGGCTTACACAGCAGACAGAGCAGCAGGTAACAGCCAGTGCTGGCTTGCGAGAGGACCATCCACATTGCAGAGTATGAACTGTGTGGGCACACAGCCCTGACAGCACCCCAAACCCACTGAGCTGGAGGAAGGTGCTCAAGGGTGAAGAGCCCACTCCAGGGAGCAGCAAGGCTGGGAAGGAAGATGATGGGCAGTGTGGTACTTGGTACTCTTAAGGAAAGCGAAGTCTGTAGCCCCCACTGGCCTGTGACAAACAAAGAAATGGGTTCAGAATGAAGGCCTACCCTGAACCTGGTCTCCAAGTATGCCTTTCGTGGGGTGGTGTGTGTGTGTGTGTGTGTGTGTGTGTGTGTGTGTGTGTGTGTGTATGTGTGTGTGTGTGTGTATGTGTGTGTGTGTGTGTGTGTGTGTGAGAGAGAGAGAGAGAGAGAGAGAGAGAGAGAGAGAGAGAGAGAGAGAGAAAGAGAGAGTACAGCTAGGTTCCTCCTCAGGAGAGGCCCCATGGTTGCTCTCTGCCAGTCTAAAAACCCTGTTGGACAGCAGGGAGTTGTCAAAGCCTATTGGATCCCCACACCCCAAGGCCTATTCTGGTAGCCGCCAGTGCCTGTCCTGTGCTCTGTGTTCTGAGTAAAGTGGGTGATCAGTCAGTCTTGGGGACAGAGCCCCAGGCTGCTGTGCCTGGAAATTGGGCTTGGTAAGCCATGGGAACAATTGGCCATAAATCTCAGGCTTCTCTGCTAGCTTGGCCTGGCTCTAGTAAAGACAGATTTTTGTCTGGGCCTTTGAGTGAGAAATTCCCTCTAGGGAGGGCTTTCTGGATGAATTGAGCAGATTCCCTCCACCACTCCCAGGGACATTAGGTTCAGAGGACGCCAAGGAGACACCTTCCCTATCCTACCTACTGTGAGACAGGCTTGAAGGCCCATAACTCAAAGAAACATTTCCTAGTTTCTTCAACTGCTTGACTCCTCTTTTACCTTGGAAACCCACCATAAACATCTCCTCCTCAGAAGTGTCTACTCTGGACTCCACAGCCCAAAGCCACAGAGTGTCTCCTACTTGTCCCCCAACTCTCACAGGCTCTAGGAGTGTCTAGCAGGCACAGGCGTGTGGCCAACACAGGCCTAGAGTGTGATGGGAGAGAAGACAGAGAACACATGGCCCACTCACTGCTCAGGAGGTGCAGACCTAAATCTCCATGTTGAGAGGACTGTTACAACAAGGGGCCCATGTTGGGGTTTGACAGACAGAGAGGGCATGCTTGGTTCCTGTCCCTGTGTCTTCTCTCCTTAAGACATGCTGATTTATCCTCATTTATAGTGGGAGACAGAGAGGTCAGAGAGGTCAAAGAACTTTCCATGCAGGTGAGAGGTGAGGAGCCTTGGACCAGCCCCGCCTGTGCCCTGGCACTAGAGCTCTTGCTGCCCTGAGGCTGCCCTGGCCCTGGGCAAGGCACGCAGCTATGGCCTGTGCAGTCAGTCAGGGCAGAGGACACCATAGCATGCCACCGTGCCACTGCCAGTCCCTAGCTCTGAGCACTGGAGCCTTGGCCCCATTCGGGGATGGGGCAGAGGATGGAGTTGCCAAGGCCGTGCTGGGTCAAGAGAGGAAGGGTGAGCGCACACTACCTGAACTTAAGGGACATTAAGCTGGAGGAGCTGTCGGAGCGATCGTCCTCGAAGCGGCCTTCATAGGAGCACTGGGTATACGGTAAGTACAGAGGGGTGGACTTAGCAGACGGCGACAGGGACGCCTCGGTCTGGGACGTGGAGGGGCCCGGCTGCTGGCCATCCGGCAGTTTGCCCTCACAGGACTCAGGGACCTTGGCCAGAATCCTATCAATGGCTAGGTAATAGGGCCAGTCCGGCGGGACGGACTCGCTATCTGTCATGCATTTTAATTTCCTGAAACGAGAGACACAAGAGCCAAGGTGAGAAACAGCAGGTACAGCCTGTCCTGCCTGGCCCCTGGGCAGCGTGACACACAAGGGGTCTAGGTCCCCAGGGGGAGTCATGCTGACACAGGCGGGAGCCACTCTCGGCCAGCACTGGCTTCCTTGGTAAAAATCAGTCAGGCCCTGGGGCCCCCGTGACACTGGACAGAAGGTAGAGAGGTGCTGGAACCTACACAGCTTTTGGGTATCAGAAAGGAAACCCAAGCATGAGCAAGGACACCCATAGGTGCTGGGAGCTTGGGGCTGATTCCTGTGGTCTCTTCTCTTCTGTGGGTTTTAAACTCACTGCAATGAACTGAATGCTTTTTATATAAGTTAGCCTGCAGCGATGAGACTGTGTATGAGATACCAACATAGAAGAAATTGTCATACAGCACTGTATTCTACAAAGATGCCTCCAGGAGAGGTAAGAGCAGGCCGCAGGAAAACAACACTCACAGCTCTGTGATGCGGGGGAATTGTCTGTATTCTGTCAATCATATTTTAATAAAACGCTGATTGGCCAGGCAGGCAGTATAGGCGGGAAAGCCAGACAGGAAGTAGAAGTGGAGTGAAGAGACTGGAAATATTCTGGGACACAGGAAGCCCTCAGCCACTCCTGTCCAGACCACCGAAGAGGCAACATGTAAGCTGTCACACTGAGAAAGGTACTGAGCCCATGTGGCTAACATAGATAAGAATAATGGGGTAACATAAGTTATAAGAGTTAACAAGAAGCCTGACCTAATGGGCCAATCAGTTTATAACCTTATGGAGTCCTGTGTGTAATTTCTCTTTGGGATTTGCCGGCTGTTGGGGTACCGGGCGGGACGGAAACCCCAACAAGCCGGCCGTCATGTTACAGCTCTGAGCCTGTATCTTGCACACACAGTGTGATCTTGGACAGGTTCATTAACCTCTCTGAGCCTTCATGTTTTACATTAGTAAAATGGAGATGGGAAAAGTGAGCCCTTCATAAAGCTACAGGGAAGGTTTTATAAAATAATGCCTGGTAAACAAGAGGCCAGGCTCCAACAGTGTCCTCAGCTGAACCTACCAGGAAGGTATGTCGTGCCGTATCACTGTAATGCTGCTATCATTCCAGTCCTGAGCTCAGTCTGACTTAGCTCTCAAATCCACAACCTGCCCAGAGTCTATGGGGCTGGGTGATCAGTGCCATCTCACACTGATTGACATCCCCTCTCTACTAGTGTCAAAGTCGAAGGTCAGATCAATGTGGCCAATGCCCTCAAGACCCTATGCCCTAACTTCTCGCATGGATGGATCCTGTCTCACTGAGAGAACTGTCACATCCTTGTCCTTGACCATCCCCTGGGAAGGGAGGGCAGGAACATTTCAGCCCTTAGGGCCACCTTGGGCCCATTCAGGGTTCTCTGCTTGGGCTGACCCTAGTCCCAGTGGTCCCTGAAGATAGAGAGCTGGTTATATGAGCCCCCAATACAGGCATAGCCAATGACAGGATAGGCTGTGGTCAGTCACGGCAGAGGTTAGTTGGGGAGTAGCATCCAGGGTCTGGGAGGGCTCCACCACATGGCATGATGGCATGAGAAAGCCGAGACAAGTTACGCAGGACAGAGCACAGACTGCTCTGGATGAAGAGCAGGGTAACCATCAAGCTACCAGGCGCCATGGCAGCCTTCTACCCAGCTCTTCCTTTCCAGAGAACCCCCTCCCCAGTTTTCTCTGTTCCACGTAAGCCAGCCCACTCCTTGGAGAAATGGGGAAAGCCTGTCTCCAGTGAGGAGGCTTCACGTGGTATTTTAACAAACTACATTCCATGAAACCTAACTACATGTTCAGATTTCCTATATGCTAAAAACTTAATATATAAACAGCTCCTGTAAAAAGAAAAGACTCTGCCATGAGGGGTTAAAGAGATGGATAAAGAACTAGTTGGCATGAGGAGCCATTGTCTGTATGTGCTTTATATACTGAAGTGCTATGCCTCCTACTCCCAGACTGCAATGGCTGTCCCTCCCATGCATCATCATCTCCCGGGTCTTCTTGGCTTATAACCACCTCTAGGAACGGAGATGGAATCCCTCCCCTAGGACACTGAGGGAGGCTTTCAAGATAAATAATGAATAACCCAGTTAGACACTGTGAGCCACCAAGTCAAAGAGGCTAAGGAAAACAGCCAGTAGAGCCTCCCACCTCCCCCAGAAACCCCTTCTTCACCCTGGAACTGGAACAGGTATGGACAGTGAGTAAGCCAGGCCATGGCTGCTATCTCCATCTGTTCATGCCTGCTCCTACGGGCACTAGACTTGCCTCTCAGCTCTCTCTTCATAAGACAGGCTGAAATTTAAATCAGTTACTAAATGACCCTGAGGCCAACAAGTTCAAGCAGCTGCTGGAGCTGTGGGTTTTGGCTCATAGGCTCTGCTGGGGGCATCACTGGAGTCAGAATGAGCCATGGACAGGCAAGGCTTAAGACTCTTTCACTTCTTCCATGACCCTTAGAAGTTAAATCAGCAGTCAGAAATGGAGTTTCAGGGCTTCACGGACTGTTCAAGGTCTTGTTGGGCCTCCACGTCTACCAGGGCATGGGATTCATGGGCCAGGCAAGGTTCCCTTCTCTTTCTTGGGGGCATCTCTTCACCTGGGGTATCATCTTCCATGGAGTCTGGTCGAGCAATGCACAGTTATTCCTATGTTAAGTTCTGCACCAGCCTCCCATCTGTCTAACTCACCAGATGAACTACCAGTATGTTTGAGAGTCTCTTGGGATAGCACCTCCCATCCGAACAGGCCCTTAGACCCAGCCTGTCTTTTGGGGAAGTACTCTTAACAACTGTCCTCCCTTGATATTCTCCAACTCCCACAGTGAGGCCTCCTGCTCTAAGAGCCTCCTGCACATGACCTTCACTTTATATCATGTCCTTGGTCCCACCCACTATTTTCTCAGTGCCTCCAAAGTCCACAATCTCCACCCCATCCACGATCCCTGCCCTGCATTTGACTCTTCCAGATAGGTCAGGCCCACCACAGCTGTTCCCTCCTGGATGCCAGAGGCATTCCAGGCCTCAGTTCCCTCCAGGCTCTCCTTCAACTGCATGCTAAGACAGTCTACAATAGAGATGTAGCAAAGTCAGAGACCCGTATGGGGAGTCCTCAGGTCAGCATTTTGTGCTGTCTAGGAAGCCCCCTAAACAGTCCTCTCACCAACTCGGAGGCTGGCCCTAGGCACATGGCGGGGGCTCACTTAGCACTCAATCTCAGGGTATGGAGATCAGCCAGGCCTGGGAGTCAAGCTTCCTTTTTTACTATGGCTTCAGTTTCCTTTAAACAGTACCAAGTCCAAGTTGGGTGCTGTGATCAGTGAGGCAGGCAGAGCCAAGACCAGTTGGTCCCCTGGAGCCCCAGTTCAGGAAGCAGGCCTTCAGGTCTGGTGCTGCCTGTCTAGCACCCACCTCTGCGGTGTCATGGCAGGCAGGAGGCAGGTCTAATGCCAACCTTGAAACCATCCTCATGATGGTACAGCTCCAGCCCCAGTCCCAGGAAGTTAAACTGACATTCCTAGACTTGCCACTTGAGAGTTCAGGACCACTTTCCTGCTTGTGGGCCTCAATTTCCCCTTATTCCCAATAGGAGACTGCATAAATGGTTTTAGAAGGCCATCTTGCCCAGTATACATCCAGCCCAGGCCACACACACCCTCCCTGGCTCACATCACAAAGTGGCCAAGAGTAGAGCAACCTGCCTGGACCCTCCCATAACCATCCTGCATGCCCACCTGTACTGGAAGGTCATGTTGGTGATTTTGATCTTGATCTCCTCGCCTAGTCGGCGCTCCCCAGTCATTTCGAAGAGCTTGCTGGCCATCTTCTCGTACACCTTGGCATTGCGCTTGGTCTGCTTGAGCTCATCGAAGAACTCCTCCCAGACCAGCATGAGGCCACGCATCTCCGCATCTGTCCAGTTGCGGGCCCGCCGATGCTTCTCCGTCTGAGGAGACACAAGGTAGCCGGGTACTTCGGCTGCTGCCATGCTGGAGGCACCTGCAGGGTTAAGGATGGCAGTCAGGCAGGGCCTCAGGCCTGGCCAACGCACCATGGGCGAGAGGCAGTGCGCGCGTTCACTCGCTTGCTCGAGGCAGCTCCACGCTCAAAATGGGGCCTACATCTGACAGGCAGGAATTTAGTTAAAAGCTTTTAAACGGGAAACGTCATTTTGATGTCATGTTTCCATAGCAACAGAGCAACTGCATAAGCTACAACAACAGAAACCTTTTAACTGAAAGCACAGGAATCAGGGCTGCACTGACGGGCCATCAATATTGCAGTGAGAGGCTGTGCCCAAATCCACTGTGGCTCCCAGTCCTCCTCCCACCCTGCTGGCCCTAGAGGCCTCAGAAGAGACTTGCTTCCGCTGTGCCTGAAAGGCTTCTGCATGGGGGACCAAAGCAATCCCCACCTCAGCCTCACCTGGTTCATATAGGCCAGAGTCCAAGGAGGCCCCAGACGGGCAGTGTGCTGAGACCCAAGGTGCAGGGTCACAAGGGAGATGGGGTTCCCAGTGCTGTCTTTATGACGGCTGGTGTGGTGGGGTCCTTGCTGAGAGGTCACTCCCTCTCAGAGGCCAAACAAGTTTTACTGAGATTGGGCCTCATCATCACCTCTTTGCTTCTCTTGTTCCACTCACCAAACACCCTGGGTCTCGGGTTGTGTGGGCGTTAGGAAGCCAGGCTAGTTAGAACTAGGCCTGACCTAGCCATGCAGGCCAGAAGGACACAGACATCGACCTTCACCATGGCTGGAACCAGGAGCATAGCACTGACGGAAGAGGCAAATGGAGCTGACATAAGGAGGCCATCGGAGAAAATTGGCAGTGGGTAAAGGGCAATTTCAATGGTAGGGCACAGCTTGGGGCTTGTCCTCCAGAAACACAGCAATGCTGAGGTGGGGACAGGCAAAAAAATCTCAAGGTGGAGGAATAATATACTCATAGGGCTAGGCTGGGCCCTCAGGCTGAGGAGTCAGCAGGAGGGCAGTGGGGGAGAATGTGAAATCTGCAGAGGGAAGACCATCACAGGTCATCAACATCTAATATCTGGCAGGTGAGGACCAAATGCGACTCCGTGGGACCTAAGGCCCTCAGCTGCACAGGCTGTGGTGGATACCAGGTCTTGCCTGGGCCCTAAGCAACTAGGCGCACACTCTCTGACCAACAGAGGAAGAGTATCTATCAGCCTGTCCCCTGACAGACCAAAGACAGGAAGAGCTCAACCTGGAGAAAAGAGTCTCTCTGGGCTTCCTGTGTCCATTGTAAGGAGCACAGTTAGGACCTTGTTGGGTGGCAGGGGAGTGACCTGAGCTCCAGTCCAAAATTTAAAATGGGAGGGAAACAGGAGAAGCCCCTGGAAGTCTTGCTGTGTTACTTCATAGGTTCAGGTCAATGTCTGGTCTTGCTAAAGCTACTGGCCAAACTCCTTTCCCTCTGGACCCCGAGAGCCACCCAGAGACATTTCCTACTGTGGAGCTTTGTTTGCAGAGACCCTTGGTTGTCCCATTTCTCCTAAGTGGAGACTCACCACTTACCATTCTCACTGCCAATGTCAGACATTGGTCATGCCAGACACACTACTGGTCTGCTGCTGCCCCCTAGTGCTGAGTGTAGGAACTGGGTCTGGTTCTCTGAGCTCCCAGTTCAGAAGGTGTCTTCTCCAGGAAGGCACTTTAGGTTTTAAGGCTCAAAGACTGATCCTTGTGGGGTGGGACAACTAGGTACTTGTCCTATTGACTTTCTTGGCCAGGATTCCATAGACAGCAACTCCAATAAACAGGGAAAGACAAGTATGACCAGGGGCCCAAGAACTCTGTGTCATCAGCCTGGCCTTGAATTTACAGAGGTCCACCTGTCTCTGCCTCTTTAATCTTGGGATTAAAAATATGTGTCATCAGGTCCAGCTACAAGCTGCTAGATTTTCAATCTCTGATTCTGTGACCTTAGCAATGGGTCCCAACCTCAGTTTCTTCATCCCTGTACTAAAATAACAGGAGTTAGCAAAATACTGGCCAAAGAGCCATGACCTTTAGGGATATGGGAGGTAGAGTAGTCATAGGGTCCCTGTCTTCCATCTCCTAGCCCCTCCCACAAATCTCCTTAGAGCCTCTGGAGAAGAATTCAAAGCCTGGCCAGGGGCTAGCTGTTGGCTAATGGATTCTTCTACCATTACTCAGGGCCCTACAGTCATATGGCTACAGAGGAAACATCTATACCAACTGCTTGCCCAAGTTCCAGGATATAGGAGGCAGCCTGGCAGGAGCTGCTCCATAGTCATACAATACTTTGGGTGGAAACTTCCTAAGATAAATGGGTTCCCACCACATCTTCTCAGGCATGTAGGCATCAGAAGCCCCAGGACAAAGTGGCCTCTGGGGACACCTCCTAGAGCAGAGTCCTTGCCTGGCTTCCAAGGACAAGAATGAACTGGGATGAATAAACCAGTTTGTCCAAGCCCCAGCTTCTCCCTTGAGGGCAGAGTTCCATACCTTGGCACAGCTGCATGGCCTGCTAGGACCCTCAGTTGTCACAGGATGAGAAGGCAGAAGGCTGAGAACTAGGCCCTCAGTAGCACCTGAAGGGAAAGGGGGCAGGTCAGCTTTAGCAAGTGTCCCTTAGAGGCCAGGCAGAAGAAATTGGGCTAAGACTGGCCTGCTGTGAGCTGGTGAGACCTACTTAGGCTCTGTTTCCCCTCTAAATAATGAGACTGGGGCTAACCTGAAACTTGTATTTATGAAAACAGTTCAGGTCGTAGGAAACCAGGCTCAACAAGGGTGATGACAGCTAAGCTCAGCCTATATGAATAGAGGCCAGAGCAGAAGGTAGACTCTATGGTGGGATGCCAGGTAACTTAAAAACAATGGGTTGCGAACTGAGCCTGTACTAGAGGGAAGAATTTAGGGGTTGAAGACTTGGCAAAGGCCTGGAATAATGCAATATGTATGCACATGTATGTGGCAGTGGCCAAGTGCAGCTTTAATCAAGAGGTAGTAGGGCCCAGTCTAGGTAGTCTTGGTGCACTAAGGAGCTTGGACTGCTCTGGGAGGTGAGTGAGGTGTGGCCTATCTCAGTGGTGGGTAATAAGAGGAGTTATGACCTATCTTACTTACAACTGGCCTGTTCCAGCAATTCCTGGGATAAAAGCCTATCTAGGTGCCTGGGCTGCAATGCTGGACATTGCCATCACATATCATTGAGGAGTCCAGACTCTTAACCTTTGACTCACTGCCTTTGTGGACATCCCTCCCCTCTTCAGTCATCCCCCAGATTTTCACGCCCCAGCTTGAAGTGAAGCAGGCATTACCTCCAGGACCACAACATGGAGACAGACACTTAGGGAGAGGAGCCTCAGGCTTCAGGGCCAAGGATATGTGTGGATTCCAGGAAGGTCTGTGATTCTCCAGTGCTGGGCCTACCTCTGCCCATAAGCCTTCCCTGGGCTACCCAAGTGGGTCTTCCAGACTTGGATGAGGTATATCACCTCACATGAAGGAAGGCCAGGTGTACCTCCATAGAACCTGTCTACTCCACGGCCATATACTCACCCTGGCTTCTCTCATCAACACAATATTAGGCTCCTTCTTCAAGAAACTCCTTCAGAATGCTTTTTGGAAAAGTTGAAAACACCAACCACAATGTAAGGCAGAGGAGGAGCTCAGATCTTGTGCTCCTACATCCCCCAGTCAATGGGGGAGCACAAGACTTGCTCTGGTGAGGAAGGATGCTCCACTCTGGTGGCTAGAAGAAATAACACATGCTGCAGACATCCCAGGGAGGCTTACCTCATCCTTTCTGAATAAACCACTCGTGCCTGGCTATCCATTGGGAGGGGTGTTTCATTTCCCTGAAGTCACCAAAACGCAAGTGGTGCTGAAGATCTTAGGGCAAGATTACCATAGTCCCAGAGAGGACTGTTGAGACAGATTAGGGAGTAGAAGTAACACCCATACCATCAAATGCTTGAGTTACTGAGCAGGGATCTAAATCTGGTCGGTATCTACCAGGCCCTTCCTGGCAAGGGTTCATCGTTTTGTACAGAAAACAGACCCTGTGACCTAGAAGGGCCAATGGCATGCACTGGCAGAATCTATAGGGCATCAAGAGTGATCCAGGCAGACTTCAGTGTGTCTGTCCTTTTTCCTGTAGGTTAGTGAATAAAATGTCTGCGCTTCAGGCTCAGCCCAGATACAAAGGAAGGGACCTAGTAAGATGGACAATGTTTTCGACAAGGTTAAAGGATTTGAAAGCTATAAAGGACAGGGCAGGCATTGTAGACACAGCAGTCAGGCTAGAACAAAGGTGGGAAGACCAGTTGTTGGGGAGCAGAGGAGTTCCACCTGGAACAGGAGCATGACCTGTAAGGGTTGGAGACTATGCAAAGACTCCAAAGCCAAACTGTGTGTCCTATGTGAGGACAGAGGCTCACCACCCCTCTGGTACCTTGGAGCAACATATGGAAGCTGCAACAATATGTAGAACCTTGCACGATGGCTTAAAAATGCCAATTACCACCAGAATTTGGTACACCATTATCTCCAAGACAGGGAGAGCACTTCAATAGAACCCTACTGTGAATAACTCTAGGTCTGGCCCCAACTCCAGGTACCTAGGTTCATTCCATACCTAGTATTGCCTGACCTTTTACAGTGTCAAGAGAGCTTGCTGGGTGGTATACTTGCCCATTGGAGATGAGAAGGATGTGCTTCTCAAATGCTTGAAACGAGTAAGTAAAGCAAGTCTTAGACAGTAACAACGGATGGTTTAATTGCTTCTTTAATTCAAATGTACAATATCTGCAATTTAAAATTTTTAAATATACATTTCATGTCAGTCCTTCCACTTGGAAGTGGACAGCCAGGTCTGGACTGGGCTCCGGGGCACACCCATCACAGCCCTCCTGGTTCCCAGCGAAGCCTGCGGCACACAGCATTAAGGCCTGGACAGGAGCCCCTCGAACGCAGCCAAACCTCAGCTGATAAGTCTCTGCCACCATCACCTTATACCGAACTTGTGGCAGAGGGTGTTTCCAGAGACACTGAGGGGAGCAGTTCCTTTGATGGCACTGAAGTGTGACAAGTACTCATAGAGGGTGGCCCTGAACCTTCAGATCATCTTCAGCTGTCACACTGCAGAGCGTGGCTTCTTCTTTCCTGGAAGCTCCAGACCCATCGAGGAACAGTTCTCTTCCAACCTGTGACAATCCTGAGCTCCCCACCCACCCTCGGCATCTCTCTGTGTCTTCTACTTCCACACACCAAGGGCCAAAAGACAGCTTCATGCCTGCCCTGGCAGCAGCTATGATCTTAGTGCTCAGTGTTAATGGAGGGAGGGTTTAAACCCAAGTGAGACTGTGTGGGGAAGGATGTGCACAGGTGGAAGAAGAGACTCATTCTGCAGCCCCACAAAGGGAGGAAGTGCTCCTTGCCAGGAGGCTGTGAACCAAGCTATTGCTGTGTAAGACCTATCCCATGGGTTGAAAGCAGAACTGCTTCACTCACAAGAAGGTGCTTTCTGTCAGGGTTAGTGCCTTCTCTGGCACTACATTCTATAGGGCTGGAGGTGGCTCTACTATAACTCTTCCCTCTTGAAAGGTACATGTGCAGACAGAAACGAGAGAATAATAAAGGGCACTTGGCAGTTACAAAGTCACCTACATGTCAAGGGGGCCAGCAGTGGGAGGGAGGCACATTTTGGAGAAGAAACATGCTGAAGTGCATTGCCAAATAGTTCTACCCTGGTTTCATTAAAATCTTTCCTGACAGTACCAACAGGAAAACAGCATCCCACCTCTTGCCCCCCCCCAATCCCACAATCAAAATAACATTTTTAAATAAAGTTTGGAAATCCACAGATTTTGAGAAATTTGATAAAAAGTCTTGGTCCCTCCTGCAGTCAGTCAGGTGGAGCAGTATCTCCAGTGGGACTTTAATGAGCTATGGCCTTTCTGCTCCCCTTTAAATTTTAAATGGAGTCCCATTCTCAGATGCTAGTCACAAAGCTGACTGTATGTGGCATGTCCAAAAAGGGCAGCTTTCAGTAAGAATGGTCAGGCATCTTAAATATGTCTTTGAGGAGTGTGTGTGTTGAACATGTATGTACACAAATACAACTCTGGGTATGTATACACACAAATGCATGCTTGCCTGTGCCTGGGTGCATCTCTAGGCTGTGGTGCCCATTACAAGAGAACAGCTTTGTGGCAGAGGCTGTTCTAGTTTCATATTAAGAACTGTTTCTGGTCATTCTATGAACAAACAAGAGCAACTGGACTCCAGGTTGAACTCACTGATATGAATCCCCAAGGGAATGGCTCCAGATTTTACATTCAAGTTTCTTATAAACATCTACCACAAGCAGTGATCAGGCTTGCACGATGCAGAGTTGTTGGGCCAACCTGGGAGCATGGCAGCCTAGAAACAGCTCCAAATGACCCCTTTTCCCTAACCCACATGGACATGACTTAGCTAAGCAGCAGAGAACCTACCTTGTCATACAGCCAAGCAGAGCTCCCAAACCAAGCAAGGAAATGAGGACAGCCCATGTCCAGGACTCATTTTCATTAACATGACCAGGCTACTCTGGGCCCAGGCCTTGGGAAAGAGAAGTGGCACTGACAAGCATGAGAGGCTGTCCCTAGGCCATAGGCTGACCCAATACTGAACCTTCCCTCTGGTCCTCATCTTGTCTTGTCAGGCTGAACCCTCCCTGGGCTCTGATAGGCATAAGTCTACAATCCCCTGGGCTGACATAAGGCAAGATGGGAAGGGTCAAAAAAGGGGCTGGATTCATTCTTAACAGTTGCTAGGACACTAACCTTTCCCTTGACCAAGAGAAACCAACAAACTATAGCTCAGAGACATCTTTGGGGTTATCAGGCCAGCACTCCTCAGGTCCCCACCACACAGAAGATTCAAAGGGACAGCATCCACATGGCTAGCTGGCTCCTAGGCAGGCTACAGCCCAGCTCAGCCAGGACCAGAGATGAGGTTACTGGGGCAGCCTCGTTGGATACAACAGAGGCTGTTTCTGGCTAGGCTGAGGGACTAGGAAACTGCATCATCACTGCTGAGTAGACAGCTTGACAATCATGCCTGAGGAGGGGGTGTTGCAGCAAGGCATGCCTTGCACAACCATAACAGTGGAAAGCAGCTCTCCTCAGCCCCTCAGTTACGCCACAGATAGGATTCTCACTTAGGGCAGTGAACATGAACACCTCTCTCTGTGCTGGTTAAATGTGATGCATTAAAAAAAGGGAGACGTGTGAGGTGCAAGTGCCATCAGGTGTTGGGAGGGCTACACAAGGGACCTGCCTGACTTGACTGAGTAGCTACAGGAGAGGGAGCAGTGGCCAGAAGGTCCATCCACTTCCACAAACTTTATCACATGCAGCACAGGCCTTGCAAGTCACACACTTTACACGGGCATAGGAAGAGTTACATTAAAATTAATCTCTTTACTGATATAATTAAATTTAACTCCTGAGAAGAAAACAGAGAAAGGGAAAATGATGCTGGAAACCTGGCACCCCAGTTCCCAGCCCCCACCACCACCACTCATTTTGTGTCCAGACTCTGGTGTGGCAGGTACACCCTGCTGTGGAAATGCGGGTGAGAGTTCTCCAGCCCAGTGTGACAGAAGGGCTCAGAACCATCTGGTAAGAGCTACGACTTCTGCTTCACATACCAGGGCAGCTGCAACCTGGCGACCACGGCCAGGGGAACACTAGGAAAAAGACAAACACCTGGTCAACCTAGCACTGCCACCAGCTGCAGCAAGGCTAGGACCCAGGACTCAGGCTCAACCCCAACATAGTGCATGTTCCCTGCATAGCCCACACTGTAAAACACTTCTGCATTGCCTGGCTGTCCACCTGACACAAGTGGAAGCCTGTGTGATCAAGAAAGCCCCAGCAGAAGCTTGGCACGGGCTCCTGGCTCTGGCCCCAGCAGCTGCCTCCTCTCAGCCTCCTGTGCCACAGGTACTACTCAGCAGGTGGTGACCTTGTGGACATTTCGCAAACAAGCAAGCAGCCGGTGGTACGGACTTCCTGGTGCCGCTACCACCTCAAACACAGACTGGAAAGCCCTGTGGTCGAATTCCTCCTCTATCTGGTGTCTGTAGAAGTCTGTGGCAACCAGGCAGAAAAGGTTCACATCCACCTGCTCCAGTTTGCCCATCCTGCTGATGATGTGTGGGAGGCTGGTAGAAGAGTTAAGGGGAACAACAGCAAGGGTAGGAAGACAGCCTCCCCAAGGGGTTCCCTTCCTAAGTCCACCAACAGGCCTAGGGAGGACAGTAGGCAACCAAAACAGAGGGTGGCCTAGGCACATCAGCAGCAGCTGCTGCCTGCAACCCTCTCCCAGCTGCAGTCGGCTATCTGCCCAAGGAGGGCAGGGGTGGGAAAGCAGAGAGGCCCAGAAAGTGGGAGCCCTGCAGTGCAGACAGGGTGCTGGTTCCCAGTGCTCTGTGCAGTAGCACTTACCTGGGCTGGGTTCCCCACAGTGCTAGTGGCTGGTGTTCCTGCTCACACTGCTCCAGTGCAGGAAGGGTAGAGCCAGCACCCTGCCTGGGAGGCTTTCCCGTACTTGGGGTGAGGCTGTACTGTCACCACCAAGACAACTTTGCTGCTCAGTAGCTCTCGTGGTCTACTGTGGGGGAGGTTGCCAAAAGAGGAACTCCTGGCAGCACTGTTGGGATGGGAACTGCAGCTTTATTTATGACTTTCCCCAGGAGGGTGACCAAGGCATAAAGATGAGAGCTAATGAGAAGCAGCATTGAGAAAACCTCAGAGGAATAAAACATGCCAGAGGATAAGGCAGCCGCAGGGCCAGTGGCTGGCCTGAGCTGCCCTGCCTCCCCTTCTGTTCTACCCTCCCATCATCCTTCAGCAGTAGCATTCCTGCCACAAACCCACCCATTGGGCAGTACTAGCTGGCAAATGGTTAAACCTACTCTTTTGTGTCCCTGTCAAAGTTTTATACCTTTAGTTGCTGGTGGCCCTGTCAGAGGAGCAGCAGGTGGCGGTTAGGTCTGGGAAACCAGCTCACCAGGAAGCAAAGCTCTGCTGGGTGAATCTCAGGTGAGGCCCTGAGAGCCTTGGCCCCAGAATGTTTCTTGCTACTGCTGAATCTTTGCCGCTGCCATTTTTCTCTGGTACCTGGCATGGAATAAATGGGCATGGGGAGACTCCCCACTGCCCTTAATGTAGTTTTGGAAATATCCTGTTTTACTGGGCTTGTGCTGTTTGACTGAAACCATGATTTAACATAATAATAGTGTTTAAGTAGAATTTTGATGATTGAGGGTTTTTAGTAAACATAGTAAAGTTAGGTTAGTTTAGTGGAAAAATTAACATAGGTAAAGGTAGGATAAGATGTTGCCCGTCTCTGATAAAGCAGAGGTTGCAGAGGATAAAACATAAAACAAGAAAGTGTCACACAGCTAGAACACATGAGTTTCTATGGAGAAGCCACACAGACTGTGGTTTAAATTAATGATTAAGAAAAATAATTGAGTCCCAGAAGCCCAGCTAGCTCAAATTCTTTTCATCTTAATGTTGGGAGATGTGTTCACAGGTTTTGGAGTGCATCATAGCTGAAACAAAGCTTTGGAAATGACTTAAGGTTAGACTGAGATGTTTTTGTGAATAGC